GTCATCTTCTCTGCTCCTCTACTCTCCAGTCTCCTCCTGTCATCATCTCTGCTCCTCTACTCTCCAGTCTCCTCCTGTCATCATCTCTGCTCCTCTACTCTCCAGTCTCCTCCTGTCATCATCTCTGCTCCTCTACTCTCCAGTCTCCTCCTGTCATCTTCTCTGCTCCTCTACTCTCCAGTCTCCTCCTGTCATCTTCTCTGCTCCTCTACTCTCCAGTCTCCTCCTGTCATCTTCTCTGCTCCTCTACTCTCCAGTCTCCTCCTGTCTTCTTCTCTGCTCCTCTACTCTCCAGTCTCCTCCTGTCTTCTTCTCTGCTCCTCTTTTCTCCAGCCTCTTCCTGTCATCTTCTCTGCTCCTCTACTCTCCAGTCTCCTCCTGTCATCATCTCTGCTCCTCTACTCTCCAGTCTCCTCCTGTCATCATCTCTGCTCCTCTACTCTCCAGTCTCCTCCTGTCATCTTCTCTGCTCCTCTACTCTCCAGTCTCCTCCTGTCATCTTCTCTGCTCCTCTACTCTCCAGTCTCCTCCTGTCATCTTCTCTGCTCCTCTACTCTCCAGTCTCCTCCTGTCATCTTCTCTGCTCCTCTACTCTCCAGTTTCCTCCTGTCATCTTCTCTGCTCCTCTACTCTCCAGTCTCCTCCTGTCTTCTTCTCTGCTCCTCTACTCTCCAGTCTCCTCCTGTCTTCTTCTCTGCTCCTCTTTTCTCCAGCCTCCTCCGGTCTTCTTCTCTGCTCCTCTACTCTCCTGTCTCATCCTGTCTCCTTCTCTGCTCCTCTACTCTCCAGTGTCCTCCGGTCTTCTTCTCTGCTCCTCTACTCTCCAGTCTCCTCCTGTCATCTTCTCTGCTCCTCTACTCTCCAGTCTCCTCCTGTCTTCTTCTCTGCTCCTCTACTCTCCAGTCTCCTCCTGTCTTCTTCTCTGCTCCTCTACTCTCCAGTCTCCTCCTGTCTTCTTCTCTGCTCCTCTTTTCTCCAGTCTCCTCCTGTCATCTTCTCTGCTCCTCTTCTCTCCAGTCTCCTCCTGTCTTCTTCTCTGCTCCTCTTTTCTCCAGTCTCCTCCTGTCATCTTCTCTGCTCCTCTTCTCTCCAGTCTCCTCCTGTCTTCTTCTCTGCTCCTCTACTCTCCTGTCTCATCCTGTCTCCTTCTCTGCTCCTCTACTCTCCAGTGTCCTCCGGTCTTCTTCTCTGCTCCTCTACTCTCCAGTCTCCTCCTGTCATCTTCTCTGCTCCTCTACTCTCCAGTCTCCTCCTGTCTTCTTCTCTGCTCCTCTACTCTCCAGTCTCCTCCTGTCTTCTTCTCTGCTCCTCTTCTCTCCAGTCTCCTCCTGTCATCTTCTCTGCTCCTCTACTCTCCAGTCTCCTCCTGTCTTCTTCTCTGCTCCTCTACTCTCCAGTCTCCTCCTGTCTTCTTCTCTGCTCCTCTACTCTCCAGTCTCCTCCTGTCTTCTTCTCTGCTCCTCTTTTCTCCAGCCTCCTCCTGTCATCTTCTCTGCTCCTCTACTCTCCAGTCTCCTCCTGTCATCTTCTCTGCTCCTCTACTCTCCTGTCTCCTCCTGTCTTCTCTGCTCCTCTACTCTCCAGTCTCCTCCTCTGCTCCTCTTAAGTCTCCATTCTCCACTTGTCTTCTCTCCATTCTCCACAGCTGTGATTTACTGCAACATATGAACAGCAGAAATATGTCTCGACGGCATAATCACAATCTTGTGCTGAAATAATAAAATGTATACAAAAGACAGCTGTTTCAGATATGAATAAACTTGGTTTGTTTCTCATATTTCATTTAATTATAGTAGAACGTATAGCCCAATATTATACATTTAATTTATACTGTATGCATCTTACATTTGATTTTCATATTCACTTTACTTATTCAAAAAAAAAACTTACATTTACAGATGCTTTCTCCTTAGTTTTGATGTGGTAAAGTCCTCGATGATGTCTTGAAAATCCAGTGCAGTTGTGAATCCATTTTCAATTGCTAACAGAGCAAAGGCCTTCAGTTTTTTTCCTGTGACTGTTGCTCTCCGATGTGTTTTTACTCGTTTCAACACAGAAAATGATCTTTCTCCTGAACAGTTTGCAATCGGTAATGTCAGATACATGCGAAGGCAAATGTCCACATTAGGAAAAGCATCCCTCAAGCCTAGCTCTAGAAATTTCTTGTACATGGCCATGACTGATTCTTCATCTTTTACCATTGACATGAACTGACAAAACTCTGCTGTAAAGTCCTCCTCAAGATCCTGGGGGTATATTTTCTTCAACTTTTCTGTGGCTGCACGGATTTGTTCAATGTTCATTGATTTCCTTTTAGTAAGGAAACCAAATTTCTCCTCCACATTTTTGTATGCATCTTTGCGTTTTTTCAATTCTTGTGACAAGCAGTCACAGATGACATAATGGGTGTCAATCAAGAACGCTTCACGGCCGGAGCGCCGCACCTCTGGACCTGCAGACTCATCAAACATAACTTTCTTTACTTGTCTCCTTTGGCTATCTGCTTTGTATCCCTCTGTCGCTGTGAGAGTCTTGGCCTCTGCTTCATAGACATCAAAATCATTTCTGGCCTGTCCTATGTATTCTATGAGTGAACTGTACAGAATAGGAACAGTACATACATCAATGTGTACCTGTTGCAATGCTTTGCTGGTTACATTGATTCTTCTCAGCAGTTCATCCCACAGCACTGTCATAACTGCAGTTTCAAGGGTTTCCATCACTGTTATTAATTGACTTGCCTCATATTGAGCAGCTCTGGGGGTTCCATGGTCAACTTTGATTTCATTCAAAGCATCCTGTATAGCTTTGTAGCCAAATCTCAGAGCTTTTGTTGCATCAGCTCTTGCAGACCATCTTGTGCTGGAAAGGCTCTTCAGTGTCAGACCTTGCTCACATTTTGTCAGGGTCTGGAGGCTCCTGCTGTATGTTGGGCTCACTTCTGGCTGGCTGCTGTCCTTCCAGTTCTTTCTGCGACTGCGTTGATGTTGATAGCGCAACAACGTCTTCCGTCGCATTTCCCGCCGCATCTTCCACCTCGTCTTCGGGCCATGTCTCCTCCGGCCCGGCCTCTGGCTCTGCTGACTCCAGAGGGTTCACAGCTGTCGGACGGCTGCCCGAGCAGCCCGACAGAAACTTCTTTAAAGCCCCCCGCTGTTTCTTCTTTTGTTCCTCTTCTCTTTTTTTCTTTTTACGTTTTGCTGCACCTGAAAGCATTGCGAAAGTTAACCTAAAACACCTGCTACTAGCTTAATCGTGTCCCGCTCGATGATCCCGCTCCACTCTGACCGCTTCCTTCTCTGACGTCCTTAGTTGGGTGGCGCCCAAGTTATAGGCTACTGTGATAGGCTGGCGTTAATGTGATGTAGCTAATGTAACAGTCTATGGTTAAGATAAACATTGTCACTCTTTTTAGTTAATAAATATTGAAATAGATTGTAGAGAGGACGAGTCCTCTCTACAAATTCTATCACAGGACATTTGTACATTTTATTTTTGATTTATTTATTTTTTTATTTTGTCCCTCTGTCTGGGCCCCATCCAGCCAATCGGGCCCTAGGCACGTGCCTACTTTGCCTTTGCGTTAATCCGGGCATGCTCACCACCGCTCCTTTAGTGGTGGCAGGATTCACCTGAACTGCAGGAAGACCTCAAGTCCAACCACACACTGTCTCCCAGTCATGTGACCCTCCCACATCCACCTCCTCATGTCTCTGCTGTGATGTCACACCTGCCATCACTCACCCTGACAGTGACTGTGGTCTCTGACTTCAGTCTTCTCACAACACAATGACGATCACAGCTGTTTTGATCAAACTCTCTGCAGCTCTGCTGTGTGTTGGAGGTACTTGATCTTTTTCATCCTGCTGACAAGCTGTCCCTTTAGCTTTCGTCTCATACTCAAGACTTCATGCTGTTGTTTTCTGCTGCTTAAACAGAGACCGACCAAATGTCTGCATCATGATGTGTTTCTGAACCCTTCAGGTCTAAGTGATGGGAGTGATGTCACTCAGACTCCTCTGCTCTGGATGAACCAGAGTCAGTCTGCAACTATCAACTGCAGTCACAGAAAGGGGACTGAATACTGGCAGATGTACTGGTACCAGCAGCTGCCTGGGAAGACCATGAAACAAATAGTTTTCACTACTCCAAGTCCTCCTCACCAGTATGAAACTGGTTTCAGTCAGGACAAATTTCCAGCAGAGAAGAAGGACGCTCAGACTGGATCTCTGACAGTGAAGAACCTGCAGCCTGAAGACAGTGGAGTGATGCAGGTGGATTCAAGAGTTGCACAAAAACCCACAGAGAGTTTTAATTGGTGTTTAATTACCTGCAGGGGGCGCTCTGTACCTGGATATTTCATCTGTGTTTTCTCTGGTTTCACTCACACTGTGTCCTGACATTTGGTTTAGTGATGTTACATTTCATCACCTGAGTTATGCTGTTTGCACCCATCTGATTAGTATTGATCTGTGGGTGTAAATCAGAGTTAGAGTTGAGGCTGTTTGCCATTTTCTTTTCTTCCTCAGTTTTCATTTTCATTGCACTAAATTTGCTATTTTCTCTTCTTGTCTTGATCTTTTGTTTATTTTACTCTTTCAACTCAGAGAATCTCTGGATCCGGATCCATCATCAGTATTATTATTTATTTTTTTCTCTTTTTTTCTTTCTTTCTTTTTTCTTTCTTTTTCCTTCATTTCTTTTCTTTAAAGAAAAACACTTCAGTCCGACCAGGCCTTTCATGTAAGCATCAATTAGCTGCCGTTATAGTGGGCGGGAGTGCTTTCACTGACGGCGAAGGGGCCGCGCTTTGGACATGAAAATTAGACTCGAAACAAAGATTTAAAGAAAAGAAGCATCTCTACGTTTCTGGGATATTCCCTCTGCTAATTCTAGAATTGAATAAAATAGATTTTTTTGATCCCACATTGGGGAAATTTACTACACTTTGAGTCTATTTTTTACACATTACGCAGAAATTCGTCCGGTGGTAAAGCCCCATGGAAGCAGCTAGCTACCAAAGCAGCCAGGAAGAGCGCTCCGGACGCTTCCAGAAAGTGTTAAGCTCAGCGGGCCAGACAGGAAGCCAACCACAAAAAAATTATAACACCTTGAAACTTCAATCAAAGTTGCGTAACTAGCAAAAACAAAAACGGCATTTCCTTATAAACCTCCATAGCCGAGGTAAATAGAACAGGACCTTTTTGGTCTCTCCTTTATTGTCTGAAGAACCAGACTCATGCAAGGTGTTGGAGGTCCCAAGTAATTCAGAGACCTTGTGGGACCAGCTGCATGGAACGCTTTGCAGCCATTTCTCGACTGAAACGGAAACGGAAAGGGGGCTCGCAGGTAAGACGCGTCTATTACGAGACGCTCTGCTTACGCATCCAGTGAAATGCCGGGGTGAGCTCGTTTGCCTTCAAGCTGGGTCCAATAGGTCAGACGTTCAGTTGAACAAGTAGAAACAGCTTTCCATTTTGTAATGACTCTTAACAAAATACCTCTGAAAAGGTCATGCACCTCCCTCCTTCCACATCCTTGATACAACAAAATACTTTCCAATGGTTACTAAACTATGGCTGTGTCTCAATTCAGGGTCTGCATCCTTCGAAGGACCCAGCCCACCCGGCCGACGTGGGCTGGGTAGACCGGATGTTAACGGCTGTGAATTTGGACAGGCCTAGCCTTCATGAACTCCCTCCGCGAACGTTCCGTCGCCTAGCAACCGTGGAACCGCTGGGCAGAAGGGAGAAGGAACTTTAAACGATGGAGCTCGACGTTTTATTTAGCTTTTTAACCCCCAGGGACCCAAATTTAGAAAACAATTGCAAAATCTTTTTTTAACCTTTCACATGTTGTTCTAGGAGGCCAGATAAACGGGCCTATTTACACATTTTAACAGCCAATAGTGTCGCAGAACGGAACAATAGGACCTATTAGCAATGTAAATGTGGTTTTAAAAAGAAAAAAAATGGGGAAGGTTTATTTTTGTAGACTTAAATCTGATGTTGTAATATTACAACCGTTGGTCTCTGGGGGTTAATCATTTCCTTGACTGTTGGAGAGCTAATTCAGAGAAAATACTTTCGACAAGCTGAGCATGAGCAAAGATGTGATAATAGTTTTTAATACTTTCTAAGGGTCTTCATTTGACCAAAACCGATTTATCACCTTTTAAGACTTTTCAAGACCCAGCGGATACCCTCTAGTAAACAATACTCATTTGTAAACAAAAATAAAATTCAAGAGTTTAATGCAGAACTGATTTTATTTAGATATTTCTTTTATATGTACATGTTTAATCTTTATTAACCATTTTTTTCTAGCAAAGTAAAAAGCTGTCAAAGTTCTTCCTTCTCTCCTGTGCCCTCTGCTGCTCTGCCTCCCTCTGCAGCCTCATGTCCTCCCAGATCCGCTCCAGAAGCTGGTCATCGCTGGCACCTTCCCCTGGATGCCCATTTTCTCCAGAATAGTCTTAACAAACATGTAAGAAAAAAAACAGGAAGAGAAAAGAGGACAACGGGTTATTCCTTTCATGTTTTCGCAGAAAAAAATAAACTCAAACGAGTTTTTAAAATATGAGATGTTATTGTACCTCCATGCCACAGCCGCCGAATACTTTGCTCCGGTGATCATGTGGTCCATCTCCGCCCTAAGCTTAATAAATTCCCTGGTTTTCTCTTTTGTTCCTAAAATACAAACTTCTATTAAAATCAGGGGGAAAACGTAGCGGGAGAAGAGCGACACCGAGCGGCCGAACATACGAGCCGAGACCGCAATACAAGCACTTTTACTGTAACATTTCTAACTAAAATAACGTTCATGTATCACAAAAAGTCCTTAACCTAACAGTTTTCAAGTTTATACTGACATTTATATGCGCAATCCTCTCCGACAGCTCCCGCTTCACTGTCCCCCATTGTTTTTAAGTTTTTCTGCTGGCCGGCTAGCAAGGCATCTTGGGAAATGCTACCTATTGAAGGATACACCCGACCCATCCTTCATTCAGGCGAAAAGAAGGCCGCATTCGTCGACCGCATTTGAAGGAGTCTTCGAATTGGGACAGGCCGAGTCGCGGCGCTGTGACGTAACCGGCCGACGAATCCGGCCGACGTAGGATGCAGACCCTGAATTGAGACACAGCCTATCTTTTGCAGCCATGTGTGACCATCAGAGACCAAAACTACAAGTGTTGGCTCGAAGAATGATAAAACTTACCATAATAGAAATTTTGAGTGTATAGTATAAAAGTTGTGCTTTTTGTTCATCATTTTAGGAATCAGGAAACCCAATTTCCCTTTTGAAAGAAAACATCTTCTCTAAAAGCAAGTGGAAGCAGCAAAAATCACCTCTTACACTGGGCGTATTATTGCCTGGAGGATGAAAAGTGTCCGCTTGTTTTATTGGTGTGTGAAGAAGATTCTTACATCTTCCACAACAATCTGGAACAAGAACTGTTTAAGTTTGACAAAAAGGCCCAATTGGTAAGATCTGAGCAGCTTCAAAGGCTGAAGAGCGTTTTTCTCCCCGAGGTTGGGACGTCTGAGTAACACATTTTTTTCACCCATGTCTCCGACATGCTGCTGGCAAGATGAATGAGTCAGTGGGTTTTCTGCAGGGGACTTGGTATACACCTGGTCAGCACCTGTCAGGGGTTGTTCATGGTGACGATAACACACGGTGATGTTCTAGACCAGGGGTGTCAAACTCATTTTAGCTCAGGGGCCACATTGAGGGAAATCTAGTCCCAAGTGGGCCGGACCAGTAAATAAAATACAAAAATCTGATTGTTTTCTTTGTTTTAATACAATCAATATAAAACAAGGCTGGAGCCTGAGGACAGTGTAGTACAAGTACAACACCTGAAGTGTACTTGAAAATTTGAAAAAAAAAAAAAAAATTCAACAAATAAAAAAAACATTCCTTAGTGATTCAAAGAGCTTACAGATCACATGGCAAGATCAGTTTCATGCAGCACTTAAAGTATATTTGACTCATTTTACTTTTAGCTTTCACCAGCACATCAATATCAGAAGTCACATCCTGAGTGGCGGCCAACTTCAGGATGTGATTCGAGTTCTTGTGTGAGCCTTGAGCGCAGCTTTGTTTTATTTATACTAATTACAGAGAAAACTTGCTCACAAAGATACGTTTATTTTCACTCTACATTGTAAAGTATGAAAATAAAGTTTACACAACCATCTCGCGGGCCGGATTTAACCCGCTTGCGGGCCGGATCCGGCCCGCGGGCCGCATCTTTGACACCCCTGTTCTAGAGCCTGCATTAAGACGCCAATGAAGAGGCCCTCTTGCGAGTGATCTCTCAGCAGAGAATCTGCAGCAGAAATGATAACAAGGTGTCCAAACAAACCAAGTCAAGTCACACTCCATTAGTAAAGCACAACGTAAGCTTAAACCAACCCAATGTGCTTTCAGGTAAAAATAAAAAGAGATTTTATGTGAAAATGCATAAAAATGCACACAAAAGCTAATTTACCAACAAGAAAAGTAATCACAGATACAGAAACATTCACACACACAATATCCACAAGCTAACGTTAACACAAAATAAACAATAATGAACAAGAATCTGCTTCTAGACCTGCAGAAAGAGAGAAAAAAAAGGGACACAACAACAATACCACAAGATCAAGCTATCACTGCGTCAACTTGATGAAGAAATATATAATCAACATTGTTTAACTGAACAATCACATGATAATAAATCACAGTGCATTAAGTGCCCACCATAGCCTTAACACATGTGCTGAACGTGCCCAAGTCCATACTTATGTGAGCACCTGTGTGTGTACATGGGCTTGTTTATATAAGGTTTATCCATAGGAGCGTCCAATAGAGAGTGTGAGGGGCCACAGATCTGCCCCCCAAAGATGTGTAGGAGACGGAGGGAGCTCCAAGTCCCAGAGATCCAGGAGTTGCCCCAGAGCACAGGAACTCCAGGGAGACTGCGACCAGAAAAGCCCCCGCCCCCCTCGAGTGGCGCAGAGGATCGCCCCGGGGGGCCACAACCAGCAGTCGGCAGAGTCCCGGGAGATATCGGCGGCAAGCCCACAGTCCCACCAGCAGCCTCCCACCCACTAGCCGGCCGAACCCGGGATCCAATGACCCGGGACCCAGGGGCGACCACCTCCGCCGGGGACCCAGCAGAGCCCAGGGACCCAGACCCCACCAGGCAGCCACCGGGATTGGTCTGAAAGATGCCAAAAATATTAAACCCCCTGACCCGGGAGCATCGACCCAGGCAGACCAAGGCACCGCACTCCACACCAGGTGTGGCAGGGAGAGGGGAGACAAAGATCTATATCATCAAAAGAAGTCCCAGGAGAGGGGAGGAGTCAAAGGCCCCACCTGACATATACAGTCATACACAAACACAGTCACACACTCCCTTCCTCATGCTCACACATACACATACAACCAAAGACTTACAAAAATGCACGCTGGACACCCACTCATGCTCCCCATACACACCCTATTCACTCTGGTCCCGGTACTGCTGCACATGGGGTACAACCATCACCGGTTACCAGAGTTTGACCCTTTCTGCTGGGGTGCTGATGAGCAGGCTCCCCCGCCCAATGCCGAGCACATCCCACCACCCCAGACCCCAACCAGACGGCCAGATCTCCCTCATAGCCTCCAGCCCCAGGAAGCCTAGCAACAACAGAGGTGTGCTACGACCCCTAGTCTCCCTCCGCCTGCTCCAGTACAGTGTTAGTGTGTGTTGATGAGGTGTATTCCATGGCTGTGGTGAGCGGGCAGTGCGGGCATCATCTGGCCTATGCCAGCTGATGCCACCACACCACCCCACTTGCACCCACAGCCCTCGGTGTCTAAGTGCAGTTTAAAAATGGAAGTGGGCACCAGCACTTGGGATGAGACTGAGAAATCCCCCTGCCAAATGCCGTTGGATGTGTTCACTCTCAAGGCGTTAAGTGTGTGTTTGTGTGGAATGTCGTTGGTGGAAGTGTTTAAGGTGCAGATGAAATTGGGGGGCAGGTTGCCACAGGAATGCGGAAATAGGGTCCATACCCGCACTCCCTGACTTACTCTTTTCTCTCCATATCTTGATCTTTTGTTTATTTTACTCTTTCAACTCAGATAATCTCTGGATCTGGATCCATCATCAATATTAAACAGAGCTCAGAGTCCTGCATCCATCAGCTGTAACCATTCAGTTGCTGCATCTGACACAATATTATGGTGCTAGAAGCAGATAGGCCACTCTGCTCTAAAGTTACAGTTTTTTTCAATTGCTAAAACACGTTTTTCAAAACTGTACGTTTCTTTCAAAACTGCACACACAAAACCCCAAACATAACACACAAATTCCTAAACCGTGGCCTCCCTTTGCAACAAAACCCTGCCATCACGCATCTTAACATGTTCCCAAAATGGAACACGTGTTTTCATTTGTAAACACAGCCACATTTTCACATGACACACACATACCATTCATTGCTTAAACACAAGTAGCCTTTGGGTGAACACTACCAAGCATGGAAAGAACACTGAAGAGCAAAACTGAAAACACAATTGTCTAAATGGAACATAATGAATTACACACTGAATGTATGACAGGGTCCACTTTTCTCTGAGACAAACATTAAACATCACACACATTCTGAGACAAAACATTTTATTTTTACAGTTAACCTCCACCCCCTCTCCCATTCAAGCATAATCATGGGCATCATGCCTCCGGTCTCTGTCTGGCCAGAGGGCCTCATCAACATCACAGGCGATGTCCTCCTGGTCCAAATAGCGCTGGAAGTACCACCTCGAGTGCCTCATGAAGCCCTGACAGGCCTCAAAGGCCACATCTCTACAAGCCTCCTCCATGGCTTGAAGCAGTGGGACCTTGCTCTGTGGATTCCTTTCGTACACCTTCCACCTCCAGGCTGAGAAAAACTCCTCAGTGGGATTGAGGAAGGGGGAATAAGGTGGAAGGTATAAAATGGAAAACCGTGGGTGGTCCTGAAACCACTCATACACCTGGGTAGCCTTGTGGAAACTTACTTTTATGCTGCAGTCCCTGATTGCAAATTGCTCGCCAGACCCGACAGTTTAGAGATTTGAATATTTGTGTGTTGTTGATCGAAGCTTTGAGAATTTATGTGAGAAGTGTTTGTAAACCTGAAAATTGTGTGTTGTGTTTTGACAGCAAGGTAATGTGAAATTGACATCCGAGTTTAAAGGAGGGAAATCAGAGTTCTAATATGATAAGGAAATCTTAAGTAGTGATAAACTGAGTCAAGCGATTGGGAACAGAAGTAGAGGTTGTGAAAATTGTGCCTCATTTTTGCTTTTGAGTTTTAGCAATCAAAAAAACTGTAATCTGAGTATTTGTTGAATGGTTCAAGCACAGCATCGGGTCACGTGACTGGGACCAATAAACTTGAGTAGGCTGCCCTAGCATTTTCATTCAAAAGTCCAACTGCAGAGGGGAAGAAACTGTTTTTGTGACGAGAGGTTCTGGTCCGAATGGATCTGAGCCTTCTGCCAGATGGGAGCGAGTCGAAGAGACTGTGTCCAGGGTGAGACGAGTCAGCTGTTATCCGACCTGCACGCCTCAATGTCCTAGAGGTGTACAGATCTTGAATGGAGGGGAGTTTGCAGCCAATGACCTTCTCTGCAGAGCGCACGACACGCTGCAGCCTCTTCTTGTCCCTGGTGGTAGCTCCAGCGTACCACACGGTGATGGAGGAGGTGAGGATGGACTCGATGGTAGCGGTGTAGAATTGCCTCATCGACTGTAGTGATAGGTTGAATTTCTTCAACTGCCTCAGGAAGTACATCCTCTGCTGGGCCATTTTTCTGATGGTGGTGATGGTGGGCTCCCATTTGAGGTCCTGGGTGATGGTGGTGCCCAGGAAGCGACATGAGTCCACCATCGTGATGGGAGTGTCAGACAGGTTTAAGGGGGCGATGGGGTGTGTGTGTTTCCTGAAGTCCACAACAACCTCTGCTGTCTTCTGGGTGTTTAGCACCAGGTTGTTGTGGCTGCACCAGGACACCAGCCGTTCACCAGCCGGATTTAGCAGCCGTTTAATCCCGACGTGATCAAACCCAGTGAATCCTGATAAGAATAGTAAATGTCTGACCTGATGTTGGGCTAATACAGCCAGTCTGTCACTCCTCGCTCCTTGTAAAGCTTATTGTCCACGTAAAGCTTATCCACCAAGATGACAGCTCTCTTCCCATCCTGGACAAACTTTCTGAGCAGCAGAAAGAGGACTCGGCGCCGATCCAGGATTTCCATAGGGAACTGGTCATTTACTCTGAAGTCTTTCCCTTTGAGCTCTCTTCCGTGACTTTTAACAAGATCCTTCTGCTTAAAATGTTCAAATTTAGCCACGATGGGACGAGGTCTTCTGCTGTCCACTCTTTTAGCTCCAAGGCAATGTACCCGGTGAAAGGTGATGTTTCCGTTTCTTCCCTGGAAGAGGGAATGACACGGATCACCCTGGACAACAAGACTCTGAAGGAGACGGTTTTGGACCTTCAGGCCCGCAGCATGAGGCATAATTTGGTGTTCGCAGGCCTGCCGGAGCAGACGGGAGGAGCGGAGAACTGCGAGCAAACAATAAAAAACTTTCTCCAGACCCAAATGAAGATACTCTTGCAAAACTCATCTAAAAGGAAAGAAAAGAAATTTTTTCATTCTGCCAAATAAAAATGTTTCTCTTGTTCAGATTCCAGCCTGGTTTCTAATGGCAGACAGTGTTTCACCTGCAAAGGAACTGACTGCACAGGATCTTTGAACTGTGAGGGGAGTGAGGACCACTGCATCAAAGCTACAAGTAAGAGTCCTTCTTCCTCTGTTCTCCACACCTTCATACTTGTTAGTCACTTATTTACATGTGGTATAATTGTTACAGGGACTGCAGAAGGGGTCACTAAGATTTTAAAAGGCTGCACGTCCAAGCAGTTTTGCTCTGGGGATGCGATTGCACAAGCCGCTCACATGACTGGAGTCGACGTAAGTTGCTGCCAGGGCAACTTCTGCAACAGTGCCAGCGGTCCAATTGGTGGTCTGCTGCTGTTGATGGTGCCGCTCATCTCTTTCATTTTGTTTTCCTAGTGGATGCAAACATGAATATTCTGCTTTTTAAATCACAGCCACCAATTAGAAAGAACATTGTATCCAGTGTTTTCCTGAACTTAAAATAAAAATGTCTTGATGTTTGAGTTTTCATTCAGTTTTCATAAACCATACCGAGAAACTTTATTGCAGGGGTCACCAGGTTACTCTGCCAGGAATCAGCCAGCGAGCCACCCTGCCTGACTTGCTTTTAAATTAGATGTCAAGCTGTCCGTTTTCAGTGAATATCTAATCTAAAATTTATTTAGAGGAAGTAAGATAAAAATCTGATTAATTACATAAATCTTACGGCAAACGTGAGGAAATATGCATATTAATCACTCAGGTTGCAGTCGTAGCACCGATCTCCGTTTCTGTCCACTTTGACCAGCAGCTGCACATGCGAGGACACGCTTCTAAAGAAGACGGGGTGACATCATTATACAGACCACAATAACATCCTCACACATATATATATATGTATATATATGTGTGTGTGTGTGTGTGTGTGTGGTATCTTTACACACATGCAGGTCCACTCAGAGAGCTGGAGGTTGCGGTGAGGTAGAAGGTGGCACCTTGCTGGTTTCTCAGCTCAGAGGCGAGCTGCAGGCTGCTCAGTGACCACATCCTGTTCTCTGCTGTTGCTCCTCTGCAGGTTCCATGAGCCACTTTGTCTTCCTCACCAACAACAGCTCTGACCTTCATCTTCACACTCATGAGAGCGCTGACTTCCTGTTGTTGTGTGTTTGACTCACAGAAACTCACAAGTTTTCTGCTACAGAAGTACGGAAACTTTAGTAAAACAGTTTGATGCTAATTAGAAAAATAGACACAAATAAAGTTTTCACACTTTTATTATTTATTTTATACAAGAAACAAAAGATGAAAGAAAAGTCATCAGAAAAGTTGTTTTATTGAAGAATCTTGTAATGAGTCACTTCAGCCAGCATATAAATCTTCCTGAGCTGAGATGTTTCACCTTATTATGAGAAAAGCAGATAAAAACATCTGACACCACCTCTGGAACAAGTAATGAACAGAAAGAAGCTCACCTCACCAGATCAAAAACATTTTATATGTAAAAAATCTTCAAATGAAGAGTTAGAAACAGTCAGAAATGGAAAAAAAATCTGTTTGTTTTCTAATAATAAAAGCCTCACAGGTTCTGAAGGGTTAAATCAGCTGATTTCAACATAAATTCCCAGAAACACAAACTGAATGTTCTGTTTTCTACAGATTTTATTTACAGAGACCAGAAAATGTTCCTCCTGAAGCTTGTTGGTTTGTTCAGACTTCGGCTCAGATTTTTGTGCAGTAGGGAACAAACTGAGTGGATATTATTAATATTCCACACATGCTGCTACTATGGAAATCTGAATCTGAACACATGCAGATAAAATGTGACTTTACTGTCAAAATGATCACACAGAATTAAGTACAACATATTTTACTAAACAAGATGCAAAAGCTGTATTTGTTAGATACTCATAAATCAAACCTCCCATGTTTACATTTAATTTCTGTATGAATTCCTGCCGTTTTGATCTAATAGGAACGCCTATGTGTCCCACAGACTAAGCTGTACGAGCTGGAAGGCCAGGTGAGACGTGGAGCAGCTGAGCGAGGAGCTGCAGAGACCAAGAAGATGGAGTTTCAGGAGGAGATCCAGAAGCAGAAGGAGCAGATCACTCACATAGAAAGCATGTATAAGAGGCAACTAGAAGGAGCACAGGTCACCTGCAGCCAAGAGAAAGTGAACTTTAACACCATTTGGTGTCAGAAAGTTGTTTGTATTTTCATGGAAGCTTTTTGGTCACTGTTTATGGTTAAAAATGTTAATATTGTCGCTATATTTTGTATTTAGACAAAGCTGCAGCAGAATATTTCCTCCAGCACCAGAACAGTTCAGGATCTCAAAGGTAGCAGTTAAAATTGACTTCTAACAAAACTAACTAAAAAGGAATAAATGTCTTTGACATTGTACCGGGGGACACAGGGCAGTTTTTGTGTTCTGCAGCTCAGCTGAATCAGCTGAATGATGACTTGGGGAAGTTTCAGAAGACGCTGCAGAGCTGCCAGGGCAACATGGACTCCCTGGACAAGAAATGAACATACGACCTGTCAGCACACGTTTGTGTAGATCTTCACCCAGGTTTCTGTCAGCAGGTTTGGTTCATGTGAATTGTTTTTGTGAGCGGGACTCGGTGTGTGAGTCCAGGGTCCAGTCCCAGAAGGAGCTGTGTGATGAGAAACTGGCCGCTGAAAAACGTGAAATCCAGAGGAATACGGAGAAGCCTGCAGGCGTCTCCTCACAAGTGGAAGTTAGTTTGCATTTTTCAGTGCACAATAAAAGAGCAGGAAGCATCTGTTTCTGCAGACTGAATGCTGGGTTCTTCTGTTTGTGACATGAGCATTGTAATGAGGGTAATTACATCTAATTAAGGACCGTGAGACATTAAGATTGCATATCGAGTATGAAATCCATCTTACGGACCACTGTGGGACTTAACCAGAAGAGTGGAACTTTTTAATGAAGGGATTTTGTAACACTTTGTATTAACTGAGAGACAATAGAAGAGAGAGAGTCCTTTAAACATTTAAGATGATTTATTACTGAATAATTTTAAACAATTTAAACAAGACTAACTCTACTAATGATGGATGTATCTGTTTGAATGAGGTGTGAGATGGATGGTGTGTGTGAGTCGTGTTAATCAGAACTCTCGTATCCGGAGAAGCAAGTCTGAGTGGGAGATGATGTTTTGCTCCTAACTATGATCAGAGTTTGACCGGAGTAGTTTCATAAACACATGAGACGCCATATTTGTCGCATCCACACATACCCTCAGTGAGACCTCCTGCACGGATCCAGAATGTCAGGTCCACGGACCCTCCTTTCGGTACTGGAGCCAGTGGTACAGCATCACAGCACGACAAACTAGTCCTTGGATTGTCTCCAGATTAAAGCGGCAGGTGGTTCACAAAGTCAAAAGGGGACCCTCCTTGGGTCAGTGAGTTCAGCTTTTATTCTGAAAGGAACTGTTGCTTGGTTGGTAAAATGCAACAGATTTTCCCAGCTTGTTGGTTCTCGGCTTAAAAAGGGAAGTCCGGATGGCCGGTCCAGATACTTCGCTTAGCATGCGGTGAACTCTAGTGAGATCTTGAGAACTGAACTAAGATGGCGTTGGAACTAGTTTTATCAATCTGGATGTTTTGAATTCTGGTCGAATCAAAGCTGGCAGATTTATAAACACCACAGAGACTATACCACGCTTCAGACTAGGAAGGTTCTGATTGGATCAGTAACAGCAATGTGTCAGAGTGGTTTACATTACGTGTGTCAGTGTGTCTAGTGAACTAGATTAAGTCATTTACTTATTAAAACATATTAATCATAACATTGTGATTTCACAGATCGGTCACATTGTATTATTGACTAACAGTTGTTTTGATTAGCTTTATTAAAAATAGAGTTCTTTGATTAATTAAAAGAAAAGAGTCTTTTAATCTTCTTTCTTCTCTTGCTGGAAAGTAAACAGTTTAGGTGCAATACTCTCTACGTGTAATGCAAAAAGGTGGTGCAAAAAAGAATAAAATTAATAAAACCCTATACAGCGTATGGGAGAACTCACTGCACTACGTAAAAATATAATAAAATGAAGGGCAAAATGGTTTTAGCGCCGATGGAAAATTAACCAAGTTAATCATAAAGTTTTCAACTTAATCACTGTAACAAAGTTCTATAAAAAGGTAGATATATGGGTGTCAAAGAGCACTAAAATGTAAATCAGTGAAGTTAGTAATCAACTTACATGTGAATGTTCCCTTAAGGAATTAAGATTAGTGAAAATAAAAACAAATTTGGATAACAGTAATATGTGAACTAAACCCATCTACTGTTACCTAACTGATTACCTGACTTCAGGAACCCGCAGCATGTTCTCAAACCACCCCAAGTCTGCACGTCGTGTATAAACAGGAAAGACAATCATGCACACACACAAACACAGACAAACTTGTGTAACTCGAGATAGAGAACTATGGGTCCGACAAGTCTTGCAATAGAAATCACTCCACCTTCGATGTTCTAGCTGAAGGCGCCGTAGGTGCAGGTGGAGGAGGAGGAGGACCGGCCGGATCAGGCGGAGGCACCTGGGTAGCTGGTGCTTCACGAACCGGTGCGATGGCTCGAGTTAGGCACCCTTCGACATCGTGGACCGAGTCCCCTAGAAAGGTCAACCGTGCGGAGAAGTGACGGAACAGGACAAATGACAAACCCCACGACAGGCAGAGGTTTAGGCATGCAATGAATACCACGACAGAATCAGCGGAGGACCAGGAGTAAGACACTGGTTGAAACCTGAGACCGGGATCTGCCGACAACTCACTCAGCACTCTGTTCACCACACCCACCCGAACCATGGTTGGACCATCGAATGTAACACGATCCACCGTAGCTGGAGAAAGAGCAAAGGAGATGTTATCATAAAAAGGAGAAAACTCCACTTCAGACTTATGCTCACCAGGATCCAAGTAATCTAGAGAGACCTCACCTACATGGACCGTAGCACCACGTGGAACTGTTACCCATAGGGTTTGAGAGGGAAGCACAACTGGTGTAGACACACCATGACGCTCATAGAAAACATCAACTTCTCTAGCAGGGGTATTAAGTAACCAATGGTTACCAACAACAACAGCGGTACTATGCACAACATGTGAACGTGGAGTCACATTCATAGGACATTTAGAGTCACCTGAAAACTCATCAATGCCACACACACCACCGGCACCGCCAAGCAGAAAAGGTGTACCTGGACACAAGAAGTATAGGCCACGTGTGTGTGTGTGTGTGTGTGTGTGTGTGTGTGTGTGTGTGTGTGTGTGTGTGTGTGTGTGTGTGTGTGTGAACTGACACTGTGTGCTTGAACTGATTAATACCTTTTAAATAGCTGACCATGGTTGGAGGGAGGGATGAGGGGCATTACCATCGACATATATACTGGACAATTCATTTCCATAGGCTCCAATAACACGTTTTTGAGGAGAAATGGGAGGTGGCCACCACCGCCCTTTTGACCGAGTCACAGGTTCCGTCAAGCCCAGT